ATAGTTTGTTCACACTGAAACTCTGATGATATGAAGTACATCACCTTGGTGACATGGCGTTTAGAGGAGGGTAAAACGCGGTGATGTTGATTCCTGAATCAATCTGAATTCGTAAACTGCATTACCATTTTTTTACACATGATGTTTTTGTTTTACAACGTGTCTGGCAGGTCGCTGCCTTGCGCTGTTAAATAATATCTCATGTTGTTTAGTTTAGTGTGTTGAGTGTATGATCAGCTATGGTACTTCTTTGCGCTAAGTTAGAAAGTATCGATAGTAGGAACTGACTGTTGAGCACATTTCATAGAGACCTCGACAAAGGTCAGATTTCTTCTTTTTTCAACTGAAGCGTAGGACTAACAACGGCGAGTTTTAATGTACAGAGAGTTTATCCTGCTCGATCGTGAATTTTTTAGCCCACTGATTTCGACCGATATTCTCTTGTCACTGAAATATTTGCTGTATCAGCTTTTTCTCACAGAATGAAAATCTACTGACAGATGAAAGTCTTTAAGATGTTGACATAAATCTTTACTCTCTGCAAACGGACAAATCATGTCAATGTTAATCTAAAATATTTCTTGATATTGTTTTGCCATCGAATTCTAAGTTCTTCTACGGTTGGCTGTTTCTTGGAATCTAGTCTAGTGTCTCTGGTTCAGGGGTTATGTTTTGTCTTGGAATAGGTGCAGTGGCGACCCACTACCACCATTTAAAATTATTCGTCTTTGCAGTGACATGACATAATGCCGGTTTACGATTTTATGCTTTCACGTTGTTCTTGTAATTTTCAGCATGTACTTGCCATGTTGCCTTATGTAGCTTCTGATATCCGTGCAATTCTCAGTCTTAGTGGTCATGATTCACATCCATACACCGGTACTAAAAGTATGCACTGATTGCGTATCACATACAGAGTAATTAAAGAGTAATTTTCAGGAGAGAGAGATCATCAGTTTTACAAGGTTACTCCATTATATTTTTACTCTTACGTTGACGCTATAAAGTTGCTTCTGTGTTGCAGAGAGTTGTAATCTCCCACCGTTTTTAAATTTCATTGACTTGTAAAGTTTGTACATCGAGCTTAGGTACGAGTCATCCTGGCTCAGATACCGGAACCTGTGAAGGCTTACCTCCATTTCTGCAGGCCGTTGTAGAAACGGCCAGAGATCAATTTTAAAACGTACAGACTTCGGTAATGCCATTCCTCCCTTCTCTCATTTATGGATGTGAGAGCCAGTTTGGGTCTAAGAGTCGCAGACATAAGGAAAACACAATCCTTCGAATACTTGTGTTTGCGAATAATCTCAATCACGATTTATCGACCGTATATCCAGCACCCCAATCCGTACCCGTTGCAGCAGCATTCAGCTCCATACAATCCTGAAGGAACGACGACTGCGTTGCCTAAAACACGTGCTGAAACGTCAACCAGATGAAATCTCCTCCATTCACTAAGCGCCACAAAACCAGAGTCGAACAATTTATCACCTGGTGAGATATTGTTAGAGCTGATGTTCAAGTCCCATCTTGGCCAATAATGTACAGGTAGAAACGGTGGGAGATAGACTGGCTGGACTCGGAAGGGTAGATGTACACAACAGAGATCCGGAACGTGAATACAGCTGATTGTACTAGCGATGGTGATATTCATGACAACAACGGCAACAAATAAGAAAGGTTATTACTGTCAGCTGTTGTTTGTTGAACGTAACTCTAGTCTTCATCAGATTGATTTCTTCAGAACACTTGTTCTGCCTGTTGAAAACTGAGTTACTGATCAATTTGAGCATTGTCGTTAAAAATTTTGGATCATCTACATCGGGAGGCACGTTTTTTAGAGCTTTAGGTTTTTAAGTAACGCATGCAGAAGAATGCAGCAGTAACACGTTGAAAATGCGAATTCGATACTGGCTCACTTTTGTGAGCGTCCCAGCAGTGCTTGAGGTAATCACACTCTGAGGAACTTATTTTGTTTGTGATGTCTACTGCGTACTCATATTTTCGTAATTTTTACCACGAGGCACAAATTTTTTACGTCGTAGAAGTAAGACCTTCTTTGACTTTAGATTGATGGTCAACTGCGATGTGGTTGTCTACAACATCTGATCGGAAAATAACATTATTTTGCTGTGCATATCACTAGGGTGGCTGTAAACAGACAGTCCAGAGTTGCTGCATCATCTTCTAACAGAGGATATGTATCGTTTTCTTTTAAGGAGACGTTGAGTTTCTTGCTTTTGCAGTGTTCATTGTAAATTGCATGTTGGAACCAAAGCCCCTTTCAGTTGTAGCCTGTGGAGAAAGCATCATATAAATGATCTGCAGTCAATAACCTGCTTTAGCAAGGTGTCTTGTTTATATATTTTATGGTTTGCATTGGGTTAGGATCATGAAGGTAACAGAAATCGTTGTTGTGAATGTATACAACAGGCACAACAAGGATATTTTGCAAGAACCTCTGCTGTGACATCTTTGTCACTTAACCACACAGCGCGATCCTGCGGTAGCGAATCTTGCCAGTGATAGTGTCTGTCTTGCGTAACTCGGAAAAGATGGACCTTCGACCTGTCTTCTTTTAATGTGCAGTGCCTGATGATTACTGATATTTAACATGTGAATTGTCCAATCTCGGATCTGTAGAGTGGCACGCGCTTGTTCAGTAATTCGCTTCATAATTCAGAATCCGCTTACACTAATTGTACCTTCGATTTGTCTTGGCTAAGGTTCCGATGAACATTTCGTTGGTTTTTCATAAACTCATTTCAGTTCTTCAATAAATTACCGCTTTAATGATTATAGACACAAAAGCACAAACAGATAGTATTGTTTACTGTAAAAACGCGAAACCGGGGTTACTCAGTCAGTTGAGCTTTTGACTCATCACTGAGATCTCGGCTTCCTTGTGAGGTTGATAAATGAGTACCACTCTAGAAAATAAACGGTAGATTATACGCTATTTTTTCCACGTAACTATAACTTCTGCCTTAAAAATAGCATTCTTGGTTGTTGATGGTGTAGAAGCATAAATCAGTGCCGCCCACACCATAATCTTCATAATATGATGCTCCATGTATGTTGACCGATATTACAACCGAAACAAACTTCGTTTTTTTCAGCCAAATCACATGGTCCATCCTAAAGGAAAACAATTGCTGTTTGCCCTGATGATAACCAATGTAGTTTTTCTGAAATGTCTGTAATTATACCATCTGCTTGCTTCCTTGTGACCAGAACCATTGAAGCTGTAATTCATTTACAGTATTTTTGGCTTTGAAACTCGTCTTCACAATCTCAGGCAGAGCTGTCTCTCAGGTTTCTTCAAAATGCGATGCTGAAAAAATTCTCCAATGAACTCTGGGCAGCGTATGGTTTAGTTTTATAAAAGAATGAAAGTGAGGTCGAAGTCGTCTTCTTTTTGGAAACCGTTTACAGCTATAGTTTTGGACAACTATGCGATCTTTGGAATTGCTTCAAGAATGTTTGGAGCGGTAGCGAATATTACTCATTTTTTTTAACGTAACAATTATGTACTCTTCTGCTTTTCAAGCTTTGTTAGCATAACATGATGATGTTATGAACATAACTACAAAAATACTTTAATCTATAAGCTGCCATAGTTATCCTCTCATTTTCTACCAGTTTCCGTCCTTCAGTCATACGTTACCAGCTAAAATCGACTTCTGACATCCACATTGGCGATACTGAGCCGACCGTTCGATAGTAGCCTGTGATCTTCTGTTTTTCGCTTGCAGTATAGATAAAACAGTATACAACACGATTCCTTCGGGCTTGTTTAGCATTACCCTTTATTGTTGACTGATAGTCAGACGGTATGGCAAGAATTAATTTAATAACTGTGCTTTACGAGTAGTACAATACAAAATGTTCACTGGTAAAATGGTGATGACCAGGTATGGCCATATTTTCCTATCTTCGTTTTTCAGCTCTGTCCTTAATCATTACCATGCTGAATTCGTTTAGCAGTTTCGTTCCTGTAAATAGCAGATTGATTACAAGCGAGTTATTTGACAACTGTTTAAAATACTAAAGAAATTCAATTAATTTTAAAACTGGTTGTAAAATTTTCATTGACAGGTATGTTTTGCAGGAACGATTGAAAGCTATGCGAGTGATAGACGACAGAATTATATACCAGTTGAATACAATTTTGCCAACAGTGTCATTTTCTGAAGGCGTTAATCTCACCAGCAGGTGCGAAGCGCTGTACAAGCAAGTAAGCATATTTTTGAGTTGCAAGTCATTATCCTTGTGAAACAACTCGTTTCTGATATAACAGTTGATGAGTGCTTATAAAGCACGTTCTGCGGCCATCAACAAATGTTTGGTCGAAGTACAAAACCAGGTTGAGCATTACCGGCATATTAAGGACGAAAATCCAGACGACATCGGTCTACTTAAGAAGCTAAAAAACGAACAGTATAAAGTGAGTAAGAAACGGGGTGATCTTTAAAGTTTTCAAATTTCAATTTTTTAAATTCGTTAATATTTTATAGTTACGACTAATGCAGAATGAGGTGAACGTAGAAGAAGTGCTGAAAGACCGAAGCCTGAAGGTATTTAAAAAATTGATTTATACGTTTCTGTCTATCATGTTTGGCGTTTCAGGTGTTCTACGAACGTTGTAGAAGCTCCTACAAGCCAGAGGACTTGCTGCCATAGTATCAGTCAGTTCTACCTCACAGTCGTTAGACGATGCCACGAGCCAAAATGACGCACAACATCAATCGTGCTGTGTTTAGACGCCGGAAATGAAAACATACAAGAACTTTAATAGATATGTACAAATTCAATCGCTATCGAAAGATACAATGGTTAGTAGTAGATTTCTATGAGCTTTTTTCCCGCATCAAGCCGGAAAATGTTGAGCTACAACAATGGCTCTTTCAGCATCAGCAACAACACAAAGCGTTTATCCGCCGATAACCACTGTCCAGTCATCAAACTTTCAGCTGTTCGTTGGCATTGACGGCCTGAAACTACCTGGTCTGTTAATCTCTTCCAAATGTCCGTACTGGCTTTCCAAATATGATATCCTGAAATAAACTAACTTAATGAAATTAAAACAATGCCATTTCTGAAAGATAGCCCACAGCAAACGGATAGACAAATACAGTATCCAACTACTACATTAGAAACCTAATTTCGTCATACATGCAATTAATATAACTAAAATTCAACGAGTCTAAAAATATAACAGAAAATCTGAAACGGCTGTCAGAATCTCAGAAACTACCAATAGCTGAGCACTCTGGTCTAACGTTAGAACTTACTGCTAAAACAAGCTGCTACCAAAGTAGAGTCGAGCACTTAATACTCATTATGCCTGTGCCCTTCGGAACCTTTGATTTAAGGTGATCGATAAAGTTACTAGGATGATACGGTCTACTCTGATAAAATTAAGACAGTATCTTCAATCATATACTACCGTAAATGACTAATGAACATAACGAAGGAAAGCCATAAACAGATGAAGCCAGATTTGTATGGAAGCAAAGAATTATGGATGCTTACCGACGTTGGATCCGTGCTAAAACTGTCAACAAAATGTCGTCACCATGACTTTTAACTTATGCTAAATTGTATAAAGCAATAGCTGATGTGTGATTTGGAAAGGCGGTAAATGTAGGAATAGCGTAGAAACCTGTTTTCCATTTCTGGAGAAATAAGGAATCGTAGAACCCTTTCCCCCGCCGCAACTGAGAACGTAAATGTGATACTAATCATTAGCTGATGCGACGATAGGAGGGGATATGAATTTAATGCTGAGCAGGAAATTCTCGGTGCACCTGTCCCCAAAAGCTATTAAAGCCTCAGGTACCGCAGAACATAAAACCAGCCAAATTTATTTTTCTGAAGGGTCTTTAAAGACGGATCGAAACAGATAGTTCTGTCATTAGAGATGAATAATTTGGAGCTACATGAAACGAAACTGCATTGGGTGCTATTTAAATTTAAAAAAATTAAATTAAAATTTGCCTTAAAAACTAGCGTTATAGTCAGATGATTAGAATTTCAACTTTCTCAAAAATCTAACGATTTCTATCCTAAAATGTAACTAAACTACCCCTTGAAAACGAAGGTATGCTACAAAACCTGATTAAATTAAAGTAATAGTTTATTTTTACACGGAAAAAGGTTATATGTAGCTATCGAAGCAAATTAAACGGTCTGTTGCATCGGAAACGTAATACAGCAAAATAACACATGGTTGGCGCCAGTGGGGATCGTTTCATTGGGAATACTGAGAGGAGCTCAAAAATGAAAAGACTTTCATAGCATAGCACAGATCATTAAAAAAAATCTGTCATACAGGGAAAGACTCAGGAAGTTTTCACGACAACGTACAGCAATGTGAACAGAGAAAATTACGTGACTAGTTGGACGTAGCTACCTATCTTGTAATTTCATAATCCTTTTTAGTGCTGAACTTCTGAAGTCACAATTTTTTGCATTCACATTTTACCGTATTTGGAACTGCAACGACGAAGCAAGTTGAACTCATTACATATTTTCTCGTATAGAATGAGCATCCTGGTATTAATTATAGCTCGTCTCCACGGGTGCGCAACTATTAGCCCCATCCCGCAGTTCGCCTGCAATCCCTTGAGATACAAAATTAGGTATTATATTGCTCTGGAATCTATTGTGCTTATTATATACTGTTACTTATATATGCTGTGTACATATTTTAATAGGGATTCGCAGAGTATATAACTAGTGCTGATTCCTCTGCAAGAGCTTGGATACAGCTACAATTATTCCTAATTAATCCTACTATTAATAAGGTGCAAATCAGCTAACTGAACATGAAACTACCATTAATTTTAGTTCAAAAATATCTCGCTCTTCTGTTAATCTTAAAATTAGTACCCAATCCTTTTTTACATATTCGAATAACAGTCCTAAAAGTAAGAAGTAATTCTTTTATGATATTTATTTCATATCTAACTACAGCACTTGTGCTCTATTAGTGTAAGTGCTAAATCAGTCATATCTTACTGTAATAACCATAAAGATAGAGACACTTTCTTTCAAAGAGTAATTAATGCTTTGGTCGTTCAGAGACAGACAGCAGAGCAAGTGTTAAAAAACAGTGAACCCGACATCAAAAGCGATTTTCCCTGTGCCTATATGTTTTAGGTGATATTCAAAGCAATCTGGAGGGATACTGGAACATTGTTTCTCACTTTCTACGTGCTGTTATATTACTGCGCATCTGTTACTTTCGACAGTTAGTTTTTCGTTGTAGCGAGTTCATTAAACAAAGGAAAGTTTGTCACCGGTCTTCATTTCCATGATTGGTCCATTTGGGCGCCATTTCTTCACAAAGTTGATAGTGCAGGGTTGATCTCCGTTTCTATGCCATCAGTCAGGAGCGCCTTATTTTAAGGCGTAGTCTACAGCCACGTGGCAAGCACAGTCCATAGTCACTTGTTTTTTTCCCACAGAGTGATAAGGATTTATCAATTTCTAAAGGATGAAAAGCGAGTGACTCCGACCAGAGCTCGAATTCAGGATATATCGGTTCTGAGTTCGACGCCCTATCGAATGAGCGAGCAATCTTAGTCTGAAGTAATGTGTCGTAAATTCCTTGCTCAAGAGAATTCGTGAATGAGACAAAGACTACCCACCAGCAGAATCGATAGCCGTGCTTACATACCACGAATCGAAAAACGCTGTGACTTAGTTGAAAAGAGGGAAGCTATGCACTCAGTTGATTACCAAGGCAGAAAGAAGATAGAAAACTTCGGATTCGAGTTTCTGGACAATAAACCACCATGTGTATGTTAGCTGTGGTAACAGAAATCATTCACATCACGAATGCGTAAGCAATGTACTTCATTTGCGGTGTACCTAAAGGCTGACCTGCACATAGATATAGCTCAACAGAGTCAAAGCCATCATTGCTTACCTCTGTCTGAGGAGAGTCGATCTGATTTCGGCGGTTCGCAACAACGACCGAGCACATTTCAGATCAGCTGAGATCTGCCGAGTGTCCAACGGAACCTGGGAACTATTTGAAACAACCCTATCGATCTGAAAATGTGCATATATTATAAAAGTGAGCGCGGCCAACTGAACAAAACCGCTCCCATCACCAGACACGTTTATACCATGAATGTCAATTGTAAAAAGCAATCGGCGATTAAAATAACACAGTGGCTCATACAGAGGAGGCAAACTAATTTTACACCATACTGCTGTGTACACAAACCTACACTAAGTGCGACGTACATCTTATCATGCTGCTGCACGTATATAATTGGAAAGTTTGTCAACTCTGGAATGTCGTTTTTCCTTCACTTTCATGATTGGGCAATTCTGTCTCACTTCTTTTTATGAAGTTCATAGCGCGGAGCGCCTCTCCATTTCTATACCTTCAGACAGGAGTGCCTTTTTAAAGGCAGATTCGACGGTCATGTGGCATGTGCAACATGTACTCTCCCGTTCCCTTCCAACAGAGTGATACTCATTTATCGACCCCGAAAGAAAGAAGGAGTGTCCCTACTGGGGGGAATGGGTTGAACTCGAGATCCATTGGTTCTGAGCACGACGTTCCACCGTCTGAGCGACCCCGGTCTTAAGCAGTGTGCAATAAATTTCTTGCCAAAGGGAATTCGTGAATAAGACAAAAATTGACCTCGAGCTGAACGAAATCTGGTAGCTCCGGAGTTCTATCAGAACAACTGTGCCAACACGCCACCGTGCCGTATGCATACATCGCACTGCAAAGTTGACGAAAAAATGCAAATACCGATTTCCGTTTTGAACGTGCGATGCATTTTATATGATCGTGCCACGTAACGTCAAAGAAAACTTAACAGCTGACTAGAGTTGTTCAGATACGAGACAACTGTTTACTGAAAGGGTATCTCTAATGCATGTCAATCACTGCAGAGTGCGGTTATAAAAATAAACATGCTTTACTACATACACCATACGTAATATAGTCATAAACATTATATTATACACACGACGATTAACACTGAAGGACAACATTGTACTAGCATGACGAATGAACAAACCTTGTTCTCTTGGCGCTTCAAGTGTTTCCCATAGTCTCCATAATAACTTCGTGGAAGTTAGGTCTTGTTTATCTTTATTTGGCAAATATTTTTAACTGCAATTCATTTATTTTCCGTGTATAACAGTCTCTCTCCTGGTAGCATTAATACCATTTCAAAGATACTTTTCACTAACAGGTACAAACTGCTCAACCGATGGCAATACTGACCTGGGGTAAGTGCCTCTACGGACTATGTTTCAGGCTCAGATTATATTCTGTTTAAGCTCAGACGCCGGCACAATATCGGGAATGTTGACTACGTCTGACACTGACGCATCCAAAACTCCAAAGCATAAGCAGCCATCGAAACTGATTAACTGTCCGACGTGTTAATTTTATGCATTCAGCAAAATCCGTTCTCATTTTAACGAACTCTGGTAACTGAAAAATTATGTAGCTAAAAAGGATTCTGTTTCTTAAAAACGTTTTGAATGAATCAAATTAAATTCAAAGCAATTTAAAAAAACGCACTGATTCATCTACAGAGACAGGTCGTTCCAAACAAAAATTACTAAGCTCCCAAAATACAGCATTACAAGTAAATGCCAGAACAATGAT